TGACAACAATGTCTCATATAATACTCAGTCTCTTATACCCATCTAGATGTGTATAAGACAAAGTCTATATATATCGCAACAGACAATAAAAAAAAATGTATCTCAAACTTGGTCAACTTCGTAACGTCTGCGTCGTTTCTGTAAAAGAATAAAAATAGCACCAAGTGATACAGTAAGATAGTAACAATAATAAACTTTAATACTAATATAAAAATAATTGTTAATAAACTAGTGTTATAGTAATTTAAATAACGAGTTGGCTGGTTTTTCCTGATAAAAAGTTTGATTTGTATAAATATTTGTTATGTAGTAGTAGAAAGCGTAGAATTGATAACAAAACGAAAAAAAACCCTGTCCGATAAAAGAGTGAAATGGTACTAGGAATGCAACAAACTAGAAAATAACCTATAAATACCATAATATTAATTGAAATTTAGTTTAGTAATAATAGTATTAAATTTATTTGCTTTTAAGTAGCCTATGTTTTTACTTAGTAGAAAGACAACAAAACATAAATAAAAAAAGTATGATAAACCGATTGATAATGATAATTAGGCCTAGTTTTTTTATATTAAATTTGGCATTTTCGCAACTCCATTGGTGCTCCATACAATTTGTTGAAGGGCGACCGACACAAGGCGCGACCGAAATGGCGACCGAAACGAAGCACGACCGAAATGATCTGTATTCCTAGATAGTAGAGGCCTGGCACTAGGGCCTAGGCTAGGTCTGTAATACACTGCAAACAACTAATGAAAAAGACATGCATGTTATCTCATCAGAGAACGTCTAAAAAGCTAATATTTAGAAGAAAAAATAAGGAAAATAGAACTAAAGAAGTCCATTCCTGGAGATCTGGTTTATAGTATTTTCTTAACACATTTAATTTAATTACTTAATTTTGCTGTGCATGGTGACACCATCGACTCTGACTTCAGCCAGTGGGACTTCGGGAGAAAATTTGTAATAAAGTACTAAAAACATGCAAATAGTATGAATTTGCGGGAAGTGGGTTAATTTCCGGGTTATTCTAATTTGATTGCGAGATTGCAGGAGCAGGCAGGAGGCTGTTTCTATTTGGGTGGATTGTTGTGCTCTTTTTCGTTTCATCTTTGGGAATGAAATGAGCACACCATATTTTTTGAAGAGATAAAAGAACAAGAGATTATCTCCCATCTTTCTACCATATCCAATCATGTGTACCAGGCCTATCTGTATTTTGCTGTATATGGATAGCAATTTGCTGCTGCCACATTTACATACTGTACCTCTAAGCACTGAAGGGCCTCCACTCCACAGTGATTGATTTTACTTTTGGAGTGTCCTGTCTCTTGTTTTTTTTTTTGTACTTTTGTGATTGTTCTTTGCCATTTCTGTTTATGTACATTTTAATTGTTTGAGACAAATAAATGAAATTAATGAAATGCTACCATGGTAATTTTATGATAGTTTGCTGTTGGAAATCTTTAGCCCATTTGCCCGACCTGTATATGAATATACTGTTGTTTTTTTTTTCCAGATCTCATTAAGGACATCAGAGATCCAGAGAAAGTGGAGACCCTTGAAGAATTGAATGTTGTTAGCGAGGAGGGAGTAGTAGTGAAGAAGTTGAATGACAAGGACTGTTTTTTAATCACCATTAACTTTACTCCAACAGTCCCACATTGTTCCTTAGCAACTCTCATAGGTGAGAACAGGGCTGTTTTTAGCTTGGTTTTTCTATGAAAATTTAATGAGAAAAATGACAAATCCCAAAAAACACATTATACTATAAAACGCTGGTTTTTCACGTTTTTTAGACTGTGGTCCATATTTAAGTTGTTCAAAATACTTTTACTGAGCTACTTTGAGATGTAAATTCTATATGTCAATATTGTTTACTAATGATTACTGTAGTTAAAAAGTAAAGCATGATCAAGGGTGCAGCTCTGTTTTAAAGGGTGGGGGGACATTTCGCGAGTCCACACCTACCTCAGCCGCACAATGGTTTGTGCTGAGGTGCAAAAATTTGAGGAAATAATGCATCTAGTTGGCTGGAAATGGCACTTTTATTATAGTGAAATTCATTATTATCATTATATAGTTAAAATGAAGTGCAACAAATTTCTCATGATCTTTCATCAGTGATTTTCAGCAACCATAGAGATCTAATTAATATGCATGATGTACCATAGAAAATAAAACTAAAAACCACTGTCTTTGATGTATTTAATTTAGGTGAGGTGAGAAAATTGAAGGAAATAGTGCCTAGATGGCCGGAAATGACACTTTTATATATACTGTAGTAAAATTCAACAATTTTCAGGCATGCTATTGACTTATGAAATTACATTGCAGACGAAAATTAAGGAGGAACAACTTAAAAATATGTGGGGGAAATGTGTCCCCTGTGCCCTTCCCTATGATGTGTGCCAATGGATATGATATATTTAGAGCATTAAATATTAAATGAAACCAATGTCTCATATAATACTAGACCATGAATCCTGCATGATTTCATATACTGTACCATCTGGTTAAAATTTTGTGAGTATATTGAATTTTGGAGACTTGGCTTGCAGCTTGCATCCATTAAGATGTGCAATAGAAGTACACAGTGAAAAAAAATCCATCTGTCCTGTAAATATAAAATTTGTTAATAAATGGTAAAAATTATGCAAATATACAGTATGAAGGATTTCATTAAGATTTTGTAAAAAAGTAAGTTAGTTAAACACTTTTCCAATCTAATTATAGAAATCATATGTTCGAATCCAGCTTCTATCAGAGCCATCGAACAACAAATCTCTATCTCCTGACTGGGTAGGAGTATCAAATTCAAGGGGTATTTCCCAAGCGGGTATGTGGAGCCTGCATTGTGGGCACGTCCGTGATGTATAACACCATCGCACAATGCAGGTCCTATGGATGCTTAATGAGCAACGTGTACATTTCCATTTGGCTTCTTCACCAAGAAGCGAGTAGCAGATATCACACTTTGCCATATTCATACGTGCCTGCTTATTAAGTCTGTAACATTTATATTTATATGACAATGTTAACTACTTTTCAATGCTACGGTGTCGAATTACAAAATTCATCTTTTAGTTTCATAAAACCCATCTAAACAAAAGGGTTTTTTTATTGTAACAACTGTATATACAACTTCTAAAAGTTATTGATATGATTAATAAATAGATATTATTTTATAAATTACTGATTTTTATTGGAAAAGGTTTCTAATCAATGAATATTCATACCTGATGGAATGTTCAGCATTATTGATTGTTGTTATCTTGGATCAAGGTCCTCAGTTTAGCTTATATGCAATGTACTTGATATGAGATACTGCACATTATCACCCTCTCTCCTTTTACACAGTGACTAAAAATGTGTGTACCTGCACAGCATTTGAATTAGGTAGCATATATGTATTTCAATGTAAAATGTTTTTAAAAATGACAAGTGAATATATACTGAATACTGAATCTTTCTAATGAAACTAATCAATATCTTAACTTAATTTCTTTTTTCAGCCTTTATGTGATTATGTGCACTGTAATTTACATTTGGCAACAGAAAAAAATCAATAACTTTTATGTTATTTAAAAAAATTATAATTGATATATTAATGGATTATCACATTGTGCACCTTCTCATCCTATATAGGTTTGTGTCTTCGGGTAAAATTGGAAAGATCGCTACCATATAAACATAAGGTAAGTTACATCGCCCTTTTTTTAGCATGATCAGGTGCAGCCCCATGATGTTTTTTAACCAGGGTCATGAATTGGTAATCAAGGACCTTATGGTTTGTTGTGCTATTAATGGTTACTAAAGGTTCAGGAGACTTGAGCCATTTAGTCTCTCACCTCATTTAGTTAAAGATTATTTTAGGTTCTGAGGAGGCGCACCCATTTCACCACACCCTTGATGTGGCACTGATGATCAGAAAAATAATAGGGGGACATTGTATTAAGTAAGGCAACATTCCTTGTCTGAATGTGCTAAAACTTCCAAAGCTTATATTTATTCTACATTATTTGTATTTTATTTATTTGTATTGTATCATAACATATTTAATTTTCATTTATTAGTTATTACACTAACATTATCCTTATGTACTTTCTTTTAAATTTAATATTTTCCATTAATTAAAATCCATTTAACAGTGTTTTATAATCGTTTTAATGCCCTGAATTAAATGTACTTAAATATTTCTTTTTATTTTTAATTTTCAGGTTGATATTTATATCACTAAGGGAACACATTCAACAGAAGAAGAAAGTAAGAATAAGATATCATGTGTTTTTCACAATGTTTGTTTATATTACAACATTTTGCATAAGAGAAGTCAAAACCCTGGGGTGGGGCTGGCACTGAATCTAAATCTTGGTACCATGTGTGTGACCATGCTTCAAAAAAGATCCTAAACACGTTTTGCAACGCAGAGAAGAAGCACCCGTTTTCACGTAATATATTGAAATCTTACTCAAAAGTAAGTATTTACAGGTCTCAACACCTCAAGGGGTCTTGACATTCGCCCGGGTGTTCACCATGGCCAAGAATTGGGAATGAACCAACTCGAGTGAGTAGTACGGTGGGAGGGAAAAATAACCCTTTTTACATGATTTTGGTCACACACATGCATCCTCGAGGTCAAGGTTTGTTCCCCCTGGGGTCAAAACAACCTTGGCATACTTTAAGTGTGCCTCACATTCTTGTATGATGTGATTTCAATTTATAAGTTTTTGCCATGCCAATGGATAAAAGTTAATCAAGTGTATCGCACTACTCCGGTGGTGTCCTTGGAATTCTGCCAGAAACCTTTGTGACATGAATTTTAATTTACAAAATTTAAGTGTGCCTCACATTCTTGTATGATGTGATTTCAATTTATAAGCTTTTGCCCTGCCAATAGATAAAAGTTAATCAAGTGTATCGCACTACTCCGGTGGTGTCCTTGGAATTCTGCCAGAAACCTTTGTGACATGAATTTTAATTTACAAAATGTTAATCATTTTATACATTGAGCATACGTTTTCATGTTAACACAGGACTAGGTGTGATACTGGGCCCATATAAACAGTTTTCCTCTGCGTATTTTGCAGTGTAGTCAAAAGGAACGTCTTGATCTACATTCCAGCAATTTAGTTTTGTCTAACATTTTAAATATATCATGAAGAAAAACAAACCGGCTTGATGACAGTATCTAAACTGATTTTATGCGAATAATTCAACAGCGTTTTCCCTTCAGTCAGTACTAGTTGTGGCAAGATAAGCAGTAATTCAAGCCCAAGTGATGAGTCCGCTGCCCAGAAAGTCTCTCTCTCAAAACTCTTCATATATATAGTCTGAATGGAAATATATGTCAAATCAACCTTAATTTGATAAATCTAATAATTATTAAAATGTATGTTATAGAAAGCATATTCTTTGCTAACTTCATATATACTTCAAATAATTTTAGGCTTTTTATTGATATAGTGTAAGTTTTATGTTTTATAATTCCATCCTGTAATTGGTGTATACACTGTTGGATGTGCAATAAATAAATATAAATATATAAAAAAAATTACATTTTAGATGATTTGATGTACACAATTTTTGAAACCACTCAGTGCATAAGTATAGAACTTTTATGTTTGTTATTGTAATCATGCCCAACAGGCAAGGTGTTTGTGACCTAGCACTAATTCAGCCTAATAAATTATTTTCTTATTTTCAGTCAACAAGCAAATAAATGATAAGGAGAGGATCGCTGCGGCAATGGAGAATCCAAACCTAAAGGAACTTGTTGACAGTTGTTTAAAGGATCGCAGCTGAAAGATTCCAGCAAATGACAACCTTACTAGCCTAGCTCAACAGTTAGTAGGCTTCCATGTGCTTTCAAACAAACTATACGTGCTCAAACTAAAGAATACGGGTATAAATCTTGTTGTAAAGAGGTAGAATAGGCTTACCACAGTATTTATTTTAACAATTTTACTGCCAAGCTTTTGTCTTAGTTTCATCCCATACGCCAAGGCATTAAGGGCGCCACCATAATGAAAATCATTCCCATCCACTGTAATGAAACACAAACAAACATACAGTATGTATTTTTAGATCATTTACTTCCGGGTGGGTCCTACCCTGAACCTCCAGGATCAGAGTTCACGTTCTGGCGGCCAATGCCAGCAAGTACGTGCAATACGATAGTGGTATGTTTAGACAATTGTGAATGTGAACGCGTGTCATTAGCACCCAGAGTGAACCCTGTCAGACGTGAACTTCCCGACAGGGAATGTGTTAATTTCATTCAGTTTGGGTAGATTAATGATTGTGTTGATTGCGTTTAGTTACCAATTACTTTGATCGCATTTCCGCACCTCAATAACGGAGACAGGATAGTAACAATCCCAAATGCTAAGATTTCCTGAATGCAATTTTAAGATATAGTTGAATAATTTTTATCATTATTACTATTAATATTTTGTTAATAATGATATTAATATAGTAATAATGGTATTAATGATATTCATAACAATAATTCAGTACGCCCTCTCATATTCGAGACCCCTTTAATTTCGAGACCCCTCTAATTCGAAACCACTTTATAAAAGTTTGAACTAACAATCTTCAATATTTTATTTTTTATTTTATTTGGCGAACAGCACAAACACTACAATATTAAATATTTAAGTATATGAGAAAAAAAAATATATTAACAGCATTAGTCACAGCCCGGGAGGGACCAAATAGACAAAGATAATAGCGAAGGTCTTCCCCAAAAGTTAACTAAAAGCTAACCGTCTTATTTGAGACCAAACGCTGAGACCACCCCAAAATTTCAGGTCCCAAAGAATGGTCTTGAAATGGAGGGCATTGTGTAATGTTATGTCCAGTTCCTATATAGTGTCTCTTACAATCCGAAGGTAGTGTCAAATCACTTCCTACATTATTTGACCAGATCATTGGAGTCATGTTTTATAAGAAAATTGGACCATTTTGAAAAGCAGTACACTACTGTGTTACTGAAAAAGCACTCCAGTCAAAAGTAAATAAATAAATATTCACAGTGTGCAACTAATTATCAATTGTGTAAGGGTGACGGTTTTGCTGATATATTTTTTCCTATATTTTTTAAAATAATATTGGTCGCATTGAAAATTGGAACTGTAAGTAATTATAATAAGAACAAATGTAATAATTGTGAAATTTAATATTATAACATTTAACTAATATATTGGAATTGCATGGTACAGACATAAGAGATATTTACTTGGTGTGAAATAGTTTTTTTTAACCAGGGACATTTTTTTTTATAGTTGAAGTAGAGGTAGAATATATACAGTATTATGAGGCACAAACATGGTACAGTATCTTGCACAAGAGTATATAGTATTAATGATGAATGTAGGGTATATAATATAACTATGCAAACTGAACAGTTGCATATTAAAGTACATCTGGAATTTATTTTAAATGGTATGACTCCCGGTACTACTGTAGTAGTAAAAGTAATAGACCTTTCCAGAGCGTCAATCAAACCTAACAACTAGCTGACCAATCAGAACAGGAGCAGCAACATGTGCATTTAACAAACACATGTGTTGTCCCACTAATACACATGTTTGCATATGTTTTAACACTGTCACTATATCGTCGCTCACATCACGATTGTGTTAGTTCGTAAAATCACAGTAGCGCATCAAAACGAGCGCTTATTGGTTGTCAAGCAATTTTGTATTCTTTACCATACAAAAAGTCCTTAACAACAACAGCGCGTATTTTGACGTGCTTTTTTGATTTCACGAACTATCACAATTGAATTTAATTGTGTTAGTTCGTGATGTGGGCGACGATATGTGGCCTTAGCAACAATAACCAAGGGGTGGGGTTTAGCGGAAAGGTACATTGTATGTGCTATCAACAATTTTTTTTAAAGAGAGCAGTGATTGAATTGAAGTGATAACTGAGTCTTTCTTTTCACCAGCAGCAAAAAATGGTATAATTTTTTAAAACATTGACTGTTAACCTATGAGTAGTACCTTTTACTTGTAGTGGCATACATTGCGATGAAACATTTGTAGCATTTGTATATAATTATGCTAATGTCCAGGTTAGCTCAACATTAAGCACTCTCCACACGGTCAAGTTATATATGAATTGACTATATGTAGCAAAGACAATCCAAACCAGTCACTCGTCGCAAATCCTGTTTCAGAGATATTGCCCAAAACATGCTGGAATGTCAAATTTAAAAAAAACAAAACTATTTTATTGCACTAAAGCCAATGTTTATATGTCTATACATCATGTCATGCTGTTATTTACCCCATTTTCAATGTTAAAAGAATAATTTTTAATGATTTGGTGATGGTTTCTGCCTGAGAAATGCCCGAAATTATAAACTTTGTAGGCCGATTTCTCAAATATTGTTCTTTAAACAGCTGTATGTTTAAACGCTTGTAACTTCTTAAGGAAATGTCGGATTTTAATTATTCTTTTTACCATTTTATAGCTCTCATTTTACTGTTTAACACCTGTCTCTTATACACATCTAGATGTGTATAAGAGACAGGTGTTATATAATTTGGAGGGGGGTCCTCCCCCTAAAAATGTCATTCCTTTGATGCTCGGATATGCACTTTCCTGCATTCTCAGCATTTCTTCAAATGTTTTATATTTTCTTATGTGATTATGGAAAAATGATGATGACAGGTGGTGGATTAGTTTGAGAAATTAATAATACGATTGAGGTGAGTTCATAGGGGCCCGGGGACCAGAAAGGCTCTCTAGTCGGGGTACAAGGGCTGCATTCCGAGAAGTATGTTAATGACTTTGCAAATAGGCATATGACTGTCTCTTATACACATCTAGATGTGTATAAGAGACAGGGCTTATATATACCGTATATATACTATATAT